TTTATTATAATCTATTATATCTATATCTTGAATGATGGGTGTATATGTTATTTTCAAAATTATATTATACTCCCACCTCATTCTAATAACTATTGTCGTATCTTTTTCTTAAAACACAAATTTTAATTTTTTAGTTTTTATTTATTTATTATTTTTAATCTCTACCTTATCCTAAATGATAAATTTGTTAATTCATAAAGGATAAATTTGTTAATTTATACCAAAAAGACAATTACCTAAAAAACAGTACAAATATTATAAGAACAATTTATTTTATTTTAGTTAATTTATTTAAATCGTTTTTTATTTGAACATATTTTGTGTTATTTCGTCTCTAATGTAGTATATACACATTAATTTATATATTAATTACTTTATTTATTTATTTTAAAATAGTTGAATTTATATATTTATATATGCATATATCATTAATATAGGGAATTCAAAAGACATAAAAAAATACTCCCTCCCTTTCATATACCGTGTCTGCTGCACCGTAGACACTGTATTTTATGAGAGGTGTAATTAGTAGATAATTAAAAATGTATTAGTGAAAATAATTATCTTATAATATAAATAATTATAAATTATAATTAAGATAACTAATTAGTTTAATTAAAATTTAAAAAAAATTAAAAATTTAAAATGAGATTAAAGTGTGTAATCATTTTCTAAAAAAAAGAAAGTGACATGGTACGGGACGGACAGAAACGACAACGTGGACATGGTATTGGAACGGAGAAAGTAGTAATAAAGGTTGAAATAATCGAAGAGTTCCAGTAATAATGCTTTATAATAATTAAACGTGGGAATCGAATAGTCTCATCTTCATGAAAGAATTTTTTTTCCTATATATATATACACATACACATATAGTCTTATCTTCATCTACAATGTATGAAATGTTAATTGATTTTTCAATGTAAAATTTGCTTGCACAAAACAAAAGCCGCATAAAAGTTACATTTAGGGTGTGTTTGTTTGGGAGTTTGGATTTTGAATTGGGATTTGAATAGTAAAAATTTTGAATTTGAATAGTTGTATGATGTGATATAAATAGGTGTTTATGTGATATTTTGAATGTAAAATTGATTTTTAGTATAATATAAAAAATAAAAAATAAGTGTTTGATTTGATATTTTTGGGGGAAAAAATGGGATGAATAGTGAAAATCTAATCCAATCCCCGAAACAAACACACCCTATGTTTTGTTCCTTCTTTGCTCTTCAACCTTATTTTTATTTATTTATTTTTCAGTTTCTTTTTAGTACAATTTAAAGAAACTAGATTGTACAATCATTATAAACAATAATTTTTTTTTTAATCCCAATACAATTTAATTATGTTTGCATGTGGATTGAAATGAGGGAAACCTTTTATTGTTAATTACTTCCTCCGTCCCAGATACCATGTTCATGTTGTCGTTTCTGTCCGTCTCATATACTAATCTCACTTTCCTTTTTTGGAAAATGATTACACACTTTAATCTCATTTTAAATTTTTTAATTTTAATTAAACTAATTAGTTATCCTAATTTAAATTTATAATTATTTATATTATAAGATAATTATTTTCACTAATACATTATTAATTATCTATTAATTACATCCCTCCTAAACTACCGTGTCTACAGTGTAGTAGACACGGTATCTGGGACGGAGGGAGTACAATTTATGTAATTAAACAATTCAGATTTAATAATGATGGATTTTGAGTTGGGATTTGAATATAAAAAATTTTGAATTTGAATAGTTGTATGATGTGATATAAATAGGTATTGATGTGATGTTTTGAATGTAAAAGTAATTTTTAGTATAATATAAAAAATAAAAAATAGGTGTTTGATTTGATATTTTTGAGAGGAAAAAATGGAATTAACAGTGAAAATTTAATTCAATCCTCCAAACAAACACACCCTAAAAGGTAGTTTAGAAAGTATTTAAGTGAAATTATATAAAATAAAAGTTTTATTGATGAATTAAGTATCTAAAAGTTGATATGTATATAAACAAGTATTTTAGGAGGGTAAAAAGTAATGAGTGAAATTGAATGTAATGTTAAAAGGGTATATATATATATTATAATTATTATTTTTATATTATTTAGATAATTTTATATAATTTACATAATCTATTATTATATATATTTTTTTTTCTTCAAAGTAAAACATAACAATTTAACATTCTCTGATTTAGTTGGAATCAATTGTTAATTATAATAATTTAAAAATTTATTTACCACTGAGTGATGTATACACAGTTTTATTTTATTATTATTATTTTTTTTAATTTTAATAATTTAAAAATTTATTTACCATTTAGTGATGATGTATACATAGTTTTATAAGTGATAAATTAATTTGACTGAATATTTTTATCATTAATTGTTAATAATGTTTTCAAAGCTAAATGTATTCGGTTATGAGATTTGGTTTAAATGGTAAATAATACTGTCTTTGTCCCAATTCTAAAGTGTATTTAGGGTTTTGTTATAAATTAATAATATTAATATTTTATTAGTCATTTGAAATATATAAGAAGTTTTAATACTTTTGCCTTGACTTTAAATGTATAAATAATTGTATATGTAATGATATATAATTTAATTAAAATTTAAAAGTATTTTTGTATTAATGTAACTTTATTAAAATATGAAATATAGTATTTTTTAGTGAAATAAACAAAAATAGTAAAAAAAACTTTAAACGATATTTATAATTGTTTTGTGTGATATAAATATATATTTTATCATGTTTTCATACTAAAATAAAATTTATTATAATACTAAATAAATAATCCATTCGTCTCACTTAATTTGTCTATTTTTTTCTATTTCCGTTTATTTTACATAATTTATCATTTTTTTTTAAATATAATTATACAATTTAATTATATTTTAAAATTCTTGATTTATAATTTTGTTTTCATCAAACTATTTAATCATCTTAATTTAAATTTATAATTATTTTTATTAAATTATAATTATTATTACTAATAATCTTTTTAATTGCTTACTAATTACATAATATCTAAAATTATATGCTTAAATCAAATGAGACAAACTAGCTGCGATGGATAGGAGGATATAATAAATATTTAATTTAATATTTTTATATAAAATTTTGTAGAAATAATAAAATATCTATGAAAACTTACAATAAGCACAACCTAAGATTTTTTCTTTTTAATAGTATAATATATACATGCATGTATAATTCATTTATATTATTTATAAATTGATTAAAAATATATGTAACACAATATATATATAAAAGTTATAATATAATAAATACGATTAAAATCAAACGTGCGTTAATACGAGCACCTACTAATTATTTATATTATAGGATAATTATTTTTCTAATACATTTTTAATCATCTATTAATTATATTTATCCTAAATTTTTTGTCTACAGTAACCCGGATACAGTACATTGGACGCGAAGAGTATAATATATATATATAAATATATAAATACTTCAGGTAATAGAAAAAGCTAAAGAGAATAATCAATAAATTCCCTCAATTCATTCTCTTACAGTACCATAAATATATAATAATCATAAATAATTTGGTGAAAATAGATGTCAAAAACAAAAACAATATAAATATATATTTGGAAATTTTTATAAAAATAACCTTTTTTTGAAAAAAAAATTAAAAATTATTTAAATATAATATAATTGAAAGTGCTTTTAAATTTTGAAAATTATTTAGAATAATACTTTGTTAATATCATTGTATTTTTTAATAAATTTTTTATAATTTATTTTAAATTTTATTAATTATATTTAAAAATGTTAATTTATATAATATAAAAAGTAAAAATATTTACATTTCGTAATTTATATTTTAAAATGTTAATTTAAAAATAATATAATAAATTTAAAATAAAATTACAATTTAATATTAAATTATTTGTATTTTTATAATTTATAATTAAAAAAATTATAAATTATATTTAATATTTAAAATATTCATATAACTAAAATTTTATATTTTAAAATTTGGTATTTAAATATATTATAAACTTTAATTTGAGTGTAATATTTGAAAAATAAAAATAAAAATACAATTATATTTTTAAATTTTGATTGAAATTTTAAATAAATATTTTTATAAAATATATTAACAATAATTTTAATAAAAGTGTTCCACCTTATTTCACAAGCTACTTCTAATATACTTTTAAAAAAACAAACTATCTTTTAGCTTCAAAATTTATTTTTTTACAGAATTTAATACAATGGTATAAAAATTTTTTTTTTAAACAAAAAATTGATTTTTTATAAATATTAAAATATAATATATATATATAATTATTTTTTCATAAAAAGTTAATAGTTCCACATATAATATTACTTTCATCTAAAATTATGTTCATTTGATCAATTAAAAAAATAGATAAAAATAATTTTTTTTATAGTAAAAAAAAAAAATTAAAAATATTACTCCCTTCTTTCACATACCATTAGCATTTTTTATTTTAGTCTGTCCTACATACCCACCTTGCAAACATGTCTAAAATAGTAGTAATAATTAATATTTCATTCCTTCTATATAATTTTTTATTTTATTTAAAAAAAATATAATTATACATTTAAATCATATTTTGAAATTCATATATTTTAATTTTTTTAATCTTAATTAAACTATTTAATATTTCAATATTAATTTATAATTATTTTTACTAATATATTTATTAATTAGTTACTCATTAATATATACATTTGTCTACCAAATAAAGAAATATGAATATTTTTTAATAACAGCAGCACAATAAATTTAAATGCAGATAATTTTTCATATCTTAACAATTCTTCGTACTTTTAACTTAAAAAAATAAAATAAAATAAAAGGACAACAAGTTCGAAGCAAATATCGGGTGTGTTTGAATTGGGGGTTATATTGCAAATATAGAAAATTGAGTGGTTAGAATTGAATTTAAGAATTTTATATTAAAAAAAGAAAAGAAAAATATGTTAATTTTAGTCTGTACCCTGTGGCCGACATAGCTGGTCTACGGAACGCAGTCTGAGAATGGCGACCGAAGCATTGCGAGCCTACAGAACGGTGTTGAGAGCTACGCGGAGGACTTTCGCCGGCGACATCGAAATGCTCCGGGGTTCCGCTGCGGAAGTTCGGAAGAAATTCGAGGAAAATCGTCACGTGACCTCGCCGGACGAAGTTAATCGCCTTCTCGAGGAGGCGCGTGAGGCCTCCCATTTCATCTCAAACATGATCGTCCAGGCCAAGCTCAACGATCGCGGTGGATACGGTATGGCTAATTTCCGCATTCCCCAACTAAATCTCACTTAATTAGGTACTTCTGTATGGAGGTTCAATTATGCCCACCTTCTGTTTGTCAAAATGTCTGAAGCTTGATTGCCTATTAATTTACTGATGCGTAATTCTTACTGTTCTGGATGCAGAAATCAAGCCGGAGAAAGAGCATATTGGAGCTACGCTAGAATTTCCTTCGGAGGAAATGCTGAAGAAGCATAAAAAATAGGAATAGGATTGATCAATGGATCTTCAGTCGGTATTTTTAATACCTTTTTTTGAAGTTTTTGGATATTGATCTAGCAAGGTTTGATTTGATTGTTTTCGTTTTACCCTTTAGAGGGCACATGGTTTTTGCATTTTATAGATTCTCATTGGATGATAATTACTCCCTGAATAAACAGGCTGCTACGTGAAGTTTAAATGGCTTTGGCCAATGTTTCTATGTTTTATATCTATTATCTATAGATGTTGCTAATGCTTTAAATCATTGGTTTTTATCTCATTATGGATGCATGGAGTTAACTTGTCGACCTGGATATATGAGGAAACTGTATATTCTGTCTGTAGAATCTGAAAGATAACACCAATGCTGTTTCGTAGGATTGGAGTGAGCTACCAATTTTTTATAGTAATTTGTTTACAGTAATGTGGGAACAATTTTCTTAACAAAAAGTTGCTACTTTGTTCATTTTCTTGCACATCATCAAAGACTCTGTCATTTTTATGTTTTCTCTATACTGCTCGTGCTGTTGATCCTCCATTCACATGGTTCTTGATTACATATTGACTATTGTTCTGAATGTACTTTGACCTCGATAGCTCAGAAGGTGCGGTTCTTTTATTCGTTCAGGAGTTGAGATTAATTTGCTATCTATGATTAAAAGGGGTTTTAAAAAGTTTTGTTCCAGAATGATAATCTCTAATCCCTGCAGGTACTTTGGGGCATCCAAGAGGGGATGAAATATTTTATACCTCAATGCTTCCATATCCATTCATGATTATCGTATGTTGTTGTTACACAATATTGTTATTGCACATAACACTTAATAAATAGCTTTGTGTAGTGATCAAGAGAAAGAGCAAAAGTTTCAAAGCTTGTTGAAATAGGAATCATACAAGTTGAGCTGCTCGTTGAGTCAAAAATCAACTCGAGCTCAATCACTCCAATATTCTTTTCTGGCTCATTCATGTTAAAACTCAATCTGGCTCAACTTGTTTGCACCCCTAATTTAAGGAGAGCATTTACCAATTGTTGAGTTCCAAATGTTGAACAAGTTTTGTGATTCACAGTCAGGTTCTAGACAGTTTTACTTGTCTCGATTACCATTTATTCGTTTTTTTATCTTTCTATATTTCGACTACTCCCAAATCCCATCTAGATTTCCTAGTTCTAAAATGCCTTCACTTTATGAACTTTAGGCCCCCATGAAGCATATGGTGTGATAAGATAAAGCTGCTCAGCAGCCCCTCTTCTTGGAAGACATCATTCATGTGAATTGAACCTACCTTCATTACTGCATTCACATCCTTCTTGCTCTTCCAACAACCTTCCCAATAAAAGCTAGACTTTTCAAGATTATCCGATTCCAATCCCTTTATAATCCCCCGTTATCTCTGCATGCTTATAACCTCGAAACTTTTCACTTATTTTCTTGAACCTATGGCACAAGGATATTATTATTATGTTTTGATGTTTATCCTATCCCCATGTTTGTTCATGCTTGCCTGCTCAGGGTCGCCCGTGGAAGATGCTTGCAGCGTGACACGGTACCAGGATCTCTGCATCCGGTCGTTGGCATCATTCTCAGGCGTGGCGAAACACAGCCCGGGTAGATGGGCCCGGGCAGGGGTGTCGGTCACCATTGCAGAGTCGAAGAGAGTTGGTCGGTACTTGGCGGGCTTGAAGAAAAGCCGAAAGGGCGGCCTCAACAAGGTGGCCCTGTCGGATTGTATCGACTGTTTTGAGGACAGTTTGGACAATCTCCATAGATCACTGTATGTTCTTAGGAAGCTTAGTGTTAGAGAATTTGTTTCTGAAATAGAGGACGTGACCACTTGGATCAGTGCTGCACTCACTGACTCGGATACTTGCGCCGACGGCTTTGCTGAAGGAAAGCGTGTTGGGTTTATTATAAATCGTGTTTCTAATGTCACGTTTTTGACTAGTAACGCTTTAGCGCTTGTCAATAGGCTCGGGACCGCAGGTCCCGACTGTCTGACCAATGGGAATTGTTAGCGAAGGAAATCTTTTTGATCGGTTTCTTTAATCAAATTTTCAAATTTTACTACTGCATCTTTAATAACAAACTATTCGTTTTATCTTTGATAACAAATTATTCATTTTTTTTATTTTATTTTGTTCCATAACAAAGTATCAATTTATTTTAGTAATTGTACCGTATATTTAACATTACAAATACTTTATTTCTATTTTATCATACTACATTTTAATATAATATTAATATTTTCAAAACTCCGTGCAAAAAACGGATACGTAGTTATAGGACGAATGGAGTATTTCGATTTTGTGACCTAAAAAAACTCTCCTAAAATATTTCATCAAACATTATTTTAATACCAAACATAAATCAATTTTTCTCAAACTTAATCAAAAGAAACATTGTTGCTTTTGGTTTTAAATTATAAAATTTTGAATTAAAATAATTATTTGATCCGATATTAAGAATTTAAAATTAAATTTTAGCTTAATATAATAAATAAAAAATAGTATTTGATTTATATTTTTAGAAGAAAAATAAAATAAAATAGTAAAATTAGACCATTTTTGTAGGGTTAACAACAAAATTGACTTTCATTTCAACTAAATAGCGTAATTAACTGTATTATTTAATATTATAATTTTTTATTTTTTATTTTTTCATGGTCGTTAAAATAAAATTATAAAATATATACTAGAGTATGAACAACCATTTTGGGCCCAACTCAAGGTAGCTTCTTGTTTACTTTTAATAAAAATTTGGAATAGTAAATAGCCATTTTGGGAAAAAAAAAAAAGTGTGTTGGGGGGAAATAATTTGATTGTGAATTAAATTTTGATTGTGAATTAAATTTAGACTTAATTCAAACTAGTTTCTTGATGGTTTCTTTGAATTTGGATTGATAGGTTGTATTTTATTTTATTTTATTTTTTTTCTTTTCAATTTTAGCATCACGGATTCTTTAAAACAAAAATACTATTACCACTATTCAAACAAAATAATAATAATAATAATAATAATAATATAATAAAAGCACATATCCTAATAATTGAGTGGGTTTGGAAAAAAATAGTTTCAAGTTGATATTAAAATAATATTTGATAAGATATTTTTGTAAGAAAATGCATTTTATTAGTATTATAATACACTAATAGAAATAATTTTTATCATTTTTTTAAATTTGTATTATATTTTGATATAATAAAAAGAGTAATTTATTCATACTTTATATAACAATAATAAATAATTTAAAAAATATAAAGGTAACTTTATACAATGAATATTTTTTATAATAAATTGAACGTATAAATAATTATATTATCGGTAAATATAATAGTGTTTAAGGGTATATTAAGAAACATATAAAAAGATCTATTAGTTATAAATTAAAAATGTATATTTTATGTACAAAAATAAAAGTAAAAGTATGTGTATATTTTATTGATCGGAGAGTATTATTTAATTTTATATAATATATTTCATTTATCTTGATTAAATAACTCTTTTAATATAATAATAAAGACAATGAACTTTAATTCGTTAATAATATTGAATTAGTAATATAATATTTTACTATAATTTATGTGAATAGTATTTTTGTAGTTTTAAAACAAAAATTAATGTATATAAAATTAAATAAATTTAGAAAACATATTTAAATACTTTAATATTATTAAAAGTCGAAATCTTACAAATAAACATACTGTTCAATTGAATTTTGCATAGTGAGTTTAGTTGATATTGATTGCAAGTAAAGTGTCTTAATCTTGGCAACTCTCTTAATATATATATATAATCAAACCAATTCTTGTTCAACTTTCACACCTAATGCAAATGCCTATATATAATTGCATTTGCATTGCTCAACTATGCATCTATAGACTCGCTCTGTCTCAAAAGTATAGTTGAGTTGTGTGAGATTTAAGAAATATTGATATTATATTGATAGTGGATAAAAATTACGGGTAAATTTTTTTTTTTTGCCCTTGTGAGTATATCAGTGTAAAAAGTAGTGACAATTGTGTAATAATAATAAAAAAATAAGGGTAATTTTATAGTGATATGATTATTTATGGAAATGAGACTGTTGTTTTGGAACGAATAAAAATAATAAATAGGACTATTGTATTGAAAGAGATGGAGTATTTAATCACTCCTACACTTGTAAACAAATATTAATATTATTAGTTAGACACAGTTTTTAATAAAAATATTACTTTATTTAATAATATATCACGTCAAAAATATTATTGAAACAAAAATTCAAATTAATATTCATCCAGCCATTTGCAAAATATATATTTTTTTATTTTTTTAATGTCTAACGACAAGTTGTACCTATTTGTTTTACACATTAAAGAGGTAAAATAATTTTTATATATCAAAATTATGGCGAACTATCATTAAAATAAAATATTTATTAAATATTGAATAAAAAATAAATATTTATTTTCTAAGTTGACGGATGAGATATATTTATTAAATTTTTTGTTAATTTATTGTGATTTATGAAATCATTTTAGAGAAATGCGATGTTATTTGATTGAATTTTTTTATTTTTTTATTTTTTTAATTTTAAAAATATGATAATCTTTTTTCTTTTGAATGATGTTAATATAAATTAGTTTCTAAAATATAGCAATTTTAAAATTTATGTAAATATTTGTTTGTTTTTTGAGGAGACATATAAAAATAGTATCCGTCCTCTTTTGGCTTCGGAAAAATGCTTTTAACGTCTGTTTTTTTAAGAAAAAATTATTTGTGTTTGTATTGGCTTTTTTTTTTTCAAAAGCAAAAGTAGTTTTTGAGCTCCAAAAGTTTTTTTAAAACACTTGCCGGTGTTTTTTTGGGAAAAAACATATGCAGATTTATAATTTAAATTATTATTTTATTCATAATATTAATAATAATAATATAAAACAAAAATAAAATAATTAATGTATATAAATTTAAATATAATTATATTTTAATTATTTTTATATATTATATTTAAATTAACATTTAAAATATATAACTGAAAATATCAAATTTAAAAAGATAAAATTTAATTTTATTGCAATAATTTAATATTTTAAATATAATTTATAAAATTTTAAAAGAATTTTTAGAGTAATTTACTTAAATTTGATTATATTTTTATCTTTATATAAAAATAAAAATAAAAATATAATTTGAATATATAATTTAATAAATATAATATAATTAGGTTAGATCATTTAAATTTTTTATATATTATTTATAAATTGCTAAAATAAATAAAAAATTAATAAAAAATATATTTATATTACTATATCATATTTAATAATTTTAACAGTTTAAAACGCACTTTCAATTTTATTATATTCAATCAAATTTTTATAAAAAATACTATTTTTATAATAATTTATCCAAATATAATATCAAATTGTTTTTGCTTTAACTTATACTTAATTTTTAATCTAATTCAAAGGGGCTAATAGTATTCGGGTGTGTTTGTTTGGGTGATTGAATTTAATTTTCACTATTCATCCAATTTTTTTTTCCCAAAAAAAATCAAATCAAACACCTATTATTCATTTTTTATATTATACTAAAAATCAATTTTACATTCAAAATATCACATCAACACTTATTTATATAATATCATACAACTATGTAAATTAAAAATTTTTACTATTCAAATCTCAACGCAAAATCCAAAACCCCAAACAAACACACCAATTGGATCAAGGTTAAAAATATTTGTAAAATAGTTGGAAAAAAAAGGCCAAATTAGAATCCAACTTATCATGACCAAAAAGACCCTTAATCGGCCTATTTGTGGTTTTGGATTTTGTTTTTAAAATAATGATAATGTAATTTCTTATATAATTGTTGATGTATTTTTTCAACAAAAATAAAGTAAAATTCAAAGATATAGAAAATATCCTTAAACTTGATTAATTAGTGCCTGAGATTAGGAATCTGTACGGTACAGAAAATAAACTGGAAAATAAAAGACTGAAATTTAAAGTGGTGATCCCCAAATCTGACTTTGCTTTGTTGAAGTTGATTGAAGATGCCTTTTCTGACGGATTTGAATCCTTTAAATAGCCTTTCAGAGAAAACGGTTTGAACCGCCGTCTGGTCGGTTACAGCAACCGCTGTCAACCGACCACCAATTTCTCCTCTATTGACACGTATTACAACTTCCTTCAACCGTTCCCACCAGTCACAGAACTCAGACCTGCCTCTTACCCGACCTGCCTGTCCACTGCCAAATTTCTTTTGCCCGACTTCGTCCTTCGCCCGACCTGCTTCTTCGCCCGACCTCACTTGGGCCGACCTCCGCATCAGCCGCCCTCCGTCTTTGACCGAAGACCTCCGCGTCTGTCCGTACCTCTTCCTTGCCCGACCTTTCTCTTGACAGACCTCCGCGTCTGCCCGACTTCGCCTTCCATCCGATCTACGGTTTACCCGACTTGGGTACACCTTTTTTTTAGACTCCGCCCGACCTGAATACAGCCCGAACTGCTGATCACGGACAACCATCTCTTGGTAGTACCTGAGTCTAGATTTGGATCAATTCTTGAGATCTTACCTTTCTTCCTTTTCCCGACCTTTATTCTGCCCGACCTCCAGACCTTTTGGCTTTCATTCAGACCCTACCCAGAATCCTACTGCCACTTACTATTATTATTATTTTTTGTGCTTAACAATAAGCCTCCTCCTCAAGACTCCTAAACATCACTTTCAGTGATGTTTTAGGAGTTTGCAGGTCAGCATCCGAGGCTACGTCAGCCTCAGATCCGACCTCCATCTTCTGAGGCTACGTTGGACCCGACCTCCATTTATCGCGGACTGGTGGTGGTCTGCACATTGATCGATCTTGCACTAACATTGCTTCAGCATCTCCCCCCTGACGGAAGTCATGATTATTTTCTGTAAAAAAGGATTCTAACCTTCTTGCCGTGGATGCTAAACTGGCCAGATCTTGAAAGTCGTGGGCTGTCAGGGCCTCGCGAAGTCTGGTATGCATGTTCCTGACCACCAAATTGGTCATTTCGCTTTCATTGATCATCGTAGGACATCGTCCCTTCATCAATCGCATC